ATCTTTCTTCGTTCGATTATTTACCTTAACAAAGTGGGCAGGTCGTCATCTGTAAGCGGGGCTTTCATGCTTAGTGAATGCCATGAGATTTCATAAAAAACAATATATTGTTGAGGGATTTGCAGCAGCGTTTGTCAGTTTTTTAAGCCGATGTAATGAAAGAGATTTGTTTCACTTCTGAGCACTAAAAAAGTTAAATTTCCTTACGTGTTTCATTCGTTTTGAGAGATGGTGGCTCTCAGAAATGATCAGAATGATAACAGTTTACCAAATGTAAGCATTCGCTGGTATTTGTCGATTTCTACCTCTTCTAACTTTTTCTCAGAAGCAAGCTAATGACAGCAGTGAATTCCGGGCAGTACCGAATTATCATCGAAATGAGTGACGAATCGCTGAGAGATTGGCTTTCTCAGCACTAGGATTGTACCGTCGACTTGTAGTCTAAGAGTAGCGTTTCTTGTCTTCCACCAGACTGGCTGTTATTTCAAGTACACTTGTGTTTTTGAAAGAATCTAGAACTGCATACACACTCTTTATCTGCACTATTCGTTGTTTTAAGCATTAGCTTTTTAGGCCGATTTCGAAATCGGAATTTGGGATCCGGAACTCGCAAAGGGCTTGAAACATGTGTGTTTAAATGATGTGAAACGCGAGGAATTCAAAGGATTTGAAGATCTTGATGTAAGCTTTACAGATATGTTACAGATATGTTGAGCCGCTAGATGATAACACATCCATCAGAAAAGCTAATAGCATGGGTGATCAAACCTGCCCTCTCTATTTCTCCTTTATCTCCTCCTCCCCACCCGACCTCTTCCTTCTCTTCCCCCTCCGGTCCCTATTTCGCTTTTATGTTCTTTTATATCTTGTGCCTTGATTCGAACCTTGCTAAAATAATGATGTGATATCATCTAGGCTTTTGAAACTACATGCTGCCGTCTCATTCATATTTTTTACTTTTTTTTTTCTTTTTTTTGTGGGTTTTCTTTGAATTTAAACAGTGGTTTCTTTCTCGGAATTAATCGAACGACACTATTTCAGTGGTTCGTAGCAAAACGAATCACAAAAACTGAAAACACAAATTGTGGATAATCTAATAATCTGCAACCCGATCTGTTATTTGGTTTCTCGTTACTGTCTGTCAAGGGATTTGTCCTTGATTGAATAATTGCATCGTTCAGTGATTGCTTGTCAATAAAACCAAGGAATCCATGATAAATTTGGCAGTAGGCTGAGGGAGTAGATTTGTTTGGGATGCGAGATGTTTATCATTATCTTTAAGACAGATGCGATGGACCTTATGGGATCGCTGAGACAGCATGGCGATATGTCGGATGACGACAACGACGATGCAATCGTTCCGTTCGATTTCATGAATAGCGTGCAGGAACGTCTGGAAAGTAAGCTTTAAGTTTCGTCTGAAAATCCGGTTGTTACTTTTTTTGTCTTTGATGACTGATTTTATACTTTGATTAGTTGTTCGTTCGTCACTTCCATCTGCCACTGAGATGCTATTTCACTTTTTTTGGATAGCTTAGTACTGATTCTGATGCCTTATTGCTCTGCCTTGTTGAATACCGTCCATAAATACTTTCTTGTGAAAGTAGGAAGACACTGAACGATAATTTAATGGCAGAACCATTGATTGAGACCAGCGTCCGTGCGTTAACATAGTGAATGCAGTAAATTTAGAAGAGAATGGCGATATTTTTGCACCACGAGGGAATATCACATCGGCCGGATGGGATGATCTGATTGTACCGCAGGAATCGGCTCCGAATGGCATCAGTATGCCCTTGGTATGTGTTCTAAAACAACACTTGATTTTTATGCGTTTTTTGCAGCTATGCAATGCAAAAAACGCATATTGACGAAAGGTTGTCTGTGTGT